CACTGATTGTTACCTGATTTCTTAAACATTTATTATTAATCAACTTAGTCGACTAACTTGATTAATAAAGTGATTATCGACTTAAAATTCAAAGTCATCGACTTAGTCGAGTCGTTAGCATCCCTACAAACGATGCACACGAAAAATAGTGTTTGGATATTGATTTTATAATTTTACTTTTTTTGATGTAATTGATCATTTAACTAAATTAGTGTTAGCCTTCAAATGAGGCATTGTGCATATTGACATGAAGTTAACACGATAACGTGTGCCTCTGATGTCATAGAGTATATTCCAGAATGTGCTCATCTTCATATTGATTAAAATATATATAAAATGAAGCATAAGCTGAAGAATCTCGTTTCCCATCATAAAGTACATAGTCATAATGATTTTCATTCATTAAGTTCCTACCACCCCTATAGAAATCTCGCATCATTCAATCCACATAACTTCTGGTAGCGGTCGGAGCTACACTAAGCATTCATTACGCGTCACTCTCCCAACCAACCGTTACAATACAAGCATGGCATATAAAACTCAACTGAATGTAGGCACGAGGCCAGAATATGTCCAAACCAAATATATAAAGGCTACATTGTACACGTATTGACTTAATGAAATATATATATATATATATATAAGTAAAAAAAAAAAATACAAAAAGCCAACACTACGTTTATCATATAATTGTTTATTATTGTAAGCTGACTTTATGTCTATAAATATTGGGTATCAAAGAAAATTCAACTTATTGTCATTCGAATGGATAAAATTATAGCGCAGAAAGAGGTGCACAAAAATAAGAAATTTGGAGATCATCACGAATGTCGCCTAAGGAATTAAATATCAAATAATTTGGGGCAAGGTTCACAAACCCACAATTCTGGCAACTTTGTTCATAAAAAAGGCTAACGAATGTTGGCTCATGACATGTCCATAAAGCATTTTCATGATTGTAAAAGATTGTAGATTTATTGAAAAAATTTAAAAACCTTCTTTCTCGGTTCAACGTTAAATAATTCTCTTGAGTGATCGAGATAATGCTGATGTAAAGATATTACTATGTCAGTTAATTTATGCTAAATATTAAAGGTAATTTACATTAAATGCTAAATATAAAATGCCAGCGAAATTATGTACCTGCATTGAATAAAAAGGTCAGTCAATTTTCCTTCAAAATTCTCCTTATATAAAGTTTCCGTTTCAAGATCGTACATAAAAAAACAAGCATTTAACTGAGAACCATTAAGACAAGCAAAATGAACACCTGTTACTAACGTTGACTTTTCTAGATGGATAGTACTTTGTTGTGGTGCTTGTTGTATGCATGATACCAAAATACTATGATTCCTCTCAAATTGGTCACTAATACTGATTTGATGGTCGTCATTTGGTGCACATTCTTCAATATTGTTGATTATACAGAAATTGCAGTTCTCATATCTGAAATCTATTGGTTGGCCAACAATAATCCAGCCTATTTGCAAATTGGAAACTTTAACCTTCCGTCTACTTGATCTTTTATGGATCCAATGAAGAACTACGCTAGCTGAGTTATTTGATGTATATACAATAATACGAGTAGAAAATACTTCTTTCATCCTTTCTCTATTCATAACAGATGCAAAAATTTGGCATTCCTTTAAATTAAGACCAAGATCTGATGGGATACTTAGTTTATGCTCATATGAGAATTTTGAAGATGACATAACAATATCATCAACTGAATCTATTGTACTGTAAAGAACTTTCTGTCCCATTGCATTAAGAACTCTTTGCCGAAGTTCGGATTTTAAAACATCAAATATTGGAATCAGATCAACGTATTCAATAATCTTCCAAGTAGTATGATCATTTAAGGACTCTTGCCATAAAACCATGTTATCTTCTTGAAATTTGCTTTCGTCTCCTCCATATACACAAAAGTGAGTTTTAACATTAGAAGTAGATAAAGAATCATTATGTCCATTTATATTATTATAATTGCCTCCTATGCCGCCAATAAATTCCGATCCGACTCTTATACCGGCAGACAGATCGGCTGATGTCTGTCGTGATATGCTTGACGCATCGTAATATACGATTTTATTCATTCTTCCGCCAATTTTAACTTTCTTAGCTATATATTCACCAAAATTCTCGCTCACTTTTTTGAGTCCTTCTACAGCATTATTGCCTTTCAGAGCAAATTCTATTGCCTGTATAAAATTTTCAGATGGTTGTACTTTCTTAACATCAATTTCTATCTCGTATCTTGGCAATAATATTATCTTATATTGAGAAGAAAATTCTGTGTTATGAGTATCGTTTGTTTGACGACCATTCGAAATTGTAAGATCAACGGATAAATGCATGGATATTGATATTTTCCCTTCTGGCACTAAATTTTTACGCAGGAAATTTTCGTGCTTGTTTTCACATTTTCCTTCATATCTATTTTCTATATAATTTATTTTCTTCATATCAACGCCTTGAGTAATATCTTGAGGAAATTCAAATATCTTCTCGTTTACAATTTCAGGCCCACATTCTGTCATTTTTATTCCGCAATTCAGGTTGTACCTATATATAGCTTCATTAATATTTGGATTAATCGATTTTTTAATTTTTAAAATGTAGCCATCATGTAAATTGTTCTTCAGTAATTCCTCCCCTTCCTCGTTACGTAAAATTATCCCGTACGGACCAATGAAGTCCATATATTCATAAATGCGAATTGGTTTTTCTGAATTTGATAGTAGCTCTCGTACTTTTTCTAGTGTTGATTCTGTTCTGAGCCTACGAGTCACTACAGGTGGATTATCATCAATAATAATAGAAATTTTATTGATTGTATTAATTATACTTTTTGCAAGATTACGTCCATCTGGGTCCAGATTCGCTAGTTCCATAGTTATTAATGTTGGGAATTATAGAAATGGTCTTTTTACATTTATATTTATACACATTTGTCTTAAATTAGAAAAATTATGGTTTGTGAACTGATACACAATTACACTGGTACACAATTATTAAGACTCTTTAAACAGACAATGATTCACAAAAATTTATTTACTTTAATTACAGTCAGAATTAACGCGCATGGATGCTGCTGAAAAGTCTTTTGTGAAATCATTTAACTTGAACTATGGTTTTCGTTACGAAAACAGGAAATTTGTGCCATCTCGTTCGATTATTGATGATGGTGAACTAACATTAGAAAAATACACCGGAGAATTATTGATTTATCAAAAGACTCAAGTTGATGTAGAAACATCTAAAACTATGTGGGAACTTTTTGAAATAACCTTTTCTACTTTAATTGAACCTCAAAATATTCAAGAACAGAAATCCAAAATTTCGGAAAGTGATGTCTTAATACTAATTCCTATTTTAAAAGCTACGTATATTGGTAAACCTATCACTTCTTTTCAGCCAGCCTTAAATGGAGAATTTCTTTTTGAAATAGTATTAGTCGGAGGTGCTCTAGTTATAAAAAATATTTCTGAATTTTCAGATGATTCTTTGAATCAATTAAAAGCACGAATCTCATGGGCTATCAATGAATTTCGTTTGGGTCATAAGAATTTATTTAAGGAATCAAAAATAGATTTGAGATTGCCTTCTATTGAAGACTTGACTGGTAATAAATTGAATGACATGGAAACATTGGTAAGAGGCGATATAGTTTTATTATTTTCGATTGCTTTTATTACCAACCACACTCTTGATAATTTGTTCTTTCTTGATTAAATATTATTTAGTGCAACTATGTTCAACAATTATATGAATTTAAAATTAGTTCTGTGATTGCTTATGAAAAGGTGGTACCTTCTTATGCTCGTCTAGATGCTAAGAAGCGGCAAGAAATTTGTATGCCAGAGTCAATTCCGGAATGCTTTGACGAACGTCTTGTACCGGATATTTCAGCTTATCATATTATCACGAAAGATTGGTTAGGGAGTAATAATATATATATGCAAATTCCAAAGTGGATCAAACAATTCAAATTAGAACATGGCTTGGTGATTAACTCAGATTTGTTTATTCCCAGTGTTAAGCCTGCTATAGAATTAATATCTGAGCCCTCAATCAAACCACGCAACTCATCTATAATGTTAAGTATTTCATACGTAGAAACGCAAAAAGATTTGTTCTATAAAACCAATTACATCGATATTCTTAGCACTTCTCCGAACTTATTGGATAGTATTCCATTTGTGGACACTACTATTGACACCTCACCCACAAATACCATTTTTTGCGACGTAATATATGAACAAATCTTGTTGACTATTACTAAAGACAAGGTTAGACCTTCTAAGCAGCTTGAAGCCGCTATTACAGGAGCGGTAAAAAAAGAAAATCCATATAATGATTTAGAAGAAATCTTTAAAGAATATGGACAAGTTTTTTGTTTAAAATTTATAATGGGGGAAAGAATAACCAAGGCAACCGGATATTCAAGTTTTAAGCAGGAAGATTTCGGAAAAATAGTGAGCAACGGATTTAAAGAACTAACAAATTGTCATGAAATTTTGGCTGAATGGAAAGAACTTAATCAACGCGAGATGGATTCGGCAAGGTTTTATTCGTCCAATAGTGACTCAATTGTTAATCTTAACAATATAAATAATATTGATCGGTATCTAAATACTGTTCCTAAAAACCCAAATTTGTGGAAAGTCATTAACCGCCTAGAAATAATACCTTTATATAAACTTATTAAAGATAATAATGTTCAGAAAGAAATAGAAATTTTACTAAGCGATAAAGAGCAAGCTTTAGCTGATGGTTATTTTATACTCGAAAATAATAAAATTCGATGTTGCACTGTAAGCTTTGGATTTCTTCTAAAAAGTGATAATTATCAAGTTATTGGTTCGATAGTTTCAAATAATTTAAAGAGAATGGATTTAAATTTAAGGTTCAAAATGCTGACAGTTTCAGGATTTTCTATTGTTATTGAGGATATTGATAACAAAGAGATATTAAAAGAAACAACTGAAGAGTACGTATTTAATCTTTTCATATGCATTATCACAATGGCTTATTCATCAAAATAAAATATTTTTTGTTTAGTGATTTAACCATTCATTGGTTATTGATCGGAAAACCGTTGTATGTCAAATACTTTAGCAAAAAAACCAGAAATACGCGAATTTTGACTGGCACAATCGGCATTACACTTTCATGTAAACAAAAACTGTATGTGATTGATATAAAGGATGAAATGGATAAGGTGGGATTGTTCTCACTGTCACCAGAATATATGATCGCAACCTCCTTTAAATTTCTTTCACCAAATATGAGTCCTAAATTCCAAGTAGCCCTACATTCATGGTAATATATGAAATAATTAATATTTAATACATATTTTGTATATACACAGTTTATTGATAAAAATGGAATACATTTAGGGCAAAAACGAAAATCTGCTTAGAGATTACTAACCATTCTTTCGAAGAAATAAATTCGTTATTTGAAGATGATCTAAAATCCATGCAAAATTCATGTTGCTTAACTTGGTATGTCATATCTACGGCACATCAAATTTCTTGGGAACACATAGGTCACTATCTCAAAAAAGGTATTTTGAAATCCCTGTTGCAAGCTTTTCTTTTTCAATATCAACAAAATATACTTCATTTCGCTCAAATGTTATAGAAAAACAAGCACCGAACGTTGATTCTTTTAAATTACCGAACACTTATCCAGATGGTAGAGATGTATTAAAACCTGGAGGATTAACATCATATATGCTAAAACATTATGAAGAATCACTTGCAGATTTAAAAGACAGTGATGTCATTGAATTTGAATATTCTTATGAAAATAGGAAAGAGGTTGGAAGGGGTAAAGTATTCTAATTTGCTCCGATTTTATTAAGCACTAACTAATAAACTTGTATTTATATCATTAAAATGTATAAGGCGCATTTAGTGTTGTTTATTCGGCGGTATATTATGGGGAAAGGTTTGCATTGAAAAGTTTTAATGATAACGGAATAAATAAAGAAGCAACAAAGGAATTTATTAAAGAGGTTCGTCATTCGTTATATTCGAGATTTGATCTTTATCAAAATCTAATATTATATATATATATTGTAGTTTAAAAACTTGCATGTTATTAATTCGCATCCTAATATCAATAAATTCCTTGGAATAACACGCGGTATTGTAATAATATATTTCATATGCCTAAATAATTATTTTTAAATAATCTTTTCTAACCATTGTCTTAATTTAGATCCTGAAACAAACAAATTCATGCTGGTACTACAATTTGCCAATGGAGGGAACCTTCGGCAATATTTAATGAAGAAATGGAACAATGGTAAATTTGAAATTAAGTTAAGCGAAATCATCAACATTGCGGCACAAATTACTGATGGAT